TGCATGTGTGGGTGTGGGCTCTCCTGATGTGCAGCATTCCAGCAGGACAGCAGAGCCTCTGAAGCTCCTGCTCCAGTAGGGATCAGCCCAGGGAGAATGCTGAGGATGAAGGGCTGGGTTTTCTTCAGTACTTTTCCATTTAGAGCGTCCAAAATGTTTGTCCCGTTCAAACAAAAACAAACCCAGCCTGGGGCTCCTCCCCTGTGGCAGCCCCTGGAAGAGCTGAGCCTCTGGCAGCCCACCTGGCCAGTGGGAGAACTCTTGGAGAGGGTTTGAGGGAAAGCGTGCCTGAAAGGAAAGAGGGGAATCCCGGATGCCACCCTCAGTGCCAAGGCAAACATGAATCTCTGTCCAAAAATGTCTGTTTGGCCGGTTCAGTAGAAGACACTGAGAGCTGTGAGCGATGGGTTTCCTCCAGCAGCAGTGTGGCAATGCTGTTACAGCCCTGCCAGGACTCTGGTTCCTGTCAGATCTCTGCTTGCCTCACTGCAGTTACACCACAGCACATTTGGCCCTTCCATCCTCTGGGGCTGCCCATCACCCTGGGCGTGCTGCTGGCTTGGCAGATGTTCCAGAGGACTGGAATTTCTTGTGGAATTCTGCTCTCTGAGGCAATGGCTGTGTGGGCAGTGAGGTCTCTTCAACACTGACCTGATCACACCTACAGGATCTCTGTGTCCTTCACGCTCTCTTCTCATTCCTCCCACAGCTGGACACTGCAGAGGAAAGGGACTCCCGACTTCTCCCTGCATGGAAATAGGCAACTTTCCACGTAGCCAACATTCCTGTTGTAGTGTTTTGTAACAAGGCACCAGCAGAAGTGAGTAATGTGTGTTTTCCTTGCCACAGATCCTAATCTAACACTGCTGCAGTGGAGAGAAGCCTGCCAGGCAGTAGGGGAAGGCAGTGCAGCAAACAACATTTCCTCTCTAGACACACAAATTCTCACTTAAGGGCCCACATTTAGTGGGAAAAAATTTCCCACCACAGAAGTTTAAACTGCCAGCTCTGAGTTTTGCAGGTTTGGATGGATTCAGTATCAACAGCCTTAGGAACAGGTAGAAAGGTGAAAGAGATCCCAGGTCACTGATTAGGGAAGGGATGGAGATGGAATATCAAAGTTGGAGAGTGAGGAAAAACAGGAGGAGGTGTTGAGGGAGAAATGCTTTTCAAGAGAGTTGGGAAAGGACTGGAGGCAAAATCAGAACTTCAGACATCTGGATAAATATTAAATGTCAAACTGGGAGAAGGACTTTGGGAAAGGAGAGAGTTTGTAGTTTCTCTTTAATTTTTAACAGCACTGCATGACATACTTGTTTAATGAATTTCTGTCAGTAATTAGACTGCTCATAAAAAACCCAACCACTTGATATAGTGTATATTTAAAAATGTTAATTATTACTTGTATTAATTGCTGTTTCTTTACACCTTGAGTCCAGGTTGGAGCTCTGAGAGTTGTCCCTGTGAGCTCTGCAGTACCAGCGAGGGTGTGAGGCTCAGCTGAGTGAATTTACACTTCAGTGCTGAACTCTGTGCATGGATTTATGTCTAACAAAACATTACTCAGGTTTGAGGAGCTGTGAGTGACCACTGAAATGCAGAACATGTGCTCACATGTCCTGGCAGCCTGCAGCCTCCTCCTCCTCCCCGCTCTGTTTGAGCCAGGACAAGATACACGAGTCAGGATTATGCACATACACGGCACTTCTACTTCAAAGTGTGAGACTATTTCAAAAACTAGGATAAATAGAACATTCCATTGTTCCCAGAAAGTAAGGAAGGATTCTCCTGACATTAAAAAAAAAAAAGAGGAGACAGAATAAATGTGAACACATCTTATGGCTGGAGTTTTTAAAAAGTGTATTAGAAGAGCTAAAAAACCTCCTGCATGTTAAAAATTAATTCAGGATTGCTCAAAAAGGAGCTTCCAGTGGGATTATCTGCTGAGTCACTGCCTGGTGCAATACAAGGTACAACCTCACCTCCCAAAGCCTGGTCTTTAATATTCTTAGACTGTCTGGGCTCCTTATGTCATCACTGCTGCTAAAACGGAGGCGTTGGGGTTCAGTGGCACTTCTAAGAAATACAATTCTCTTCTCTGGCAGTAAAGGTAACAGCAGCACAGCCACCACAGCATTCCAGTTCTCCCTTCCCTGGGCCAAATTTCTGCAGTCTCTAAACCAACTTGCTTCATGTATTTGTTATTTTTTTCGAGGAGTGTTGCTTTAACTTTACAGACACCAGAAGGATTGAAAAGATAATGAGGCACCAGGAGATAATCTCTTCCCTGCCAAGGTAATAAAGACAACCTCAGAATAAATATCAGGAAATTCACCCCAGGGTATTTTAACAGAAAAGAAAAGCAGAAATATTGCAGAATTTGTTAGAATAAGTGATATGACTTCTTTAGATGGCTTGGGATTTCCAGACCTAACTGCAGTCAATATATAGCAAAAGTCTGAAAGAAAACTGGGCCAGGACTAACGTGGAAAAGCATTTTAGGGGTGAAGTGAGAGAGCACCCATGCAATTCTCTAGTATTTATTCAGTAAAACATCCTGATGATTTCTAGAAGGGAAAAAAAAATAAAATCTGAGTTTTCTTATGTCTTGCCAACCTGGTATTCTACAAAACACACTCAGATTATTGTAGGAGGAGATGTGTGTGGAAGGAGTTGCTGCTGACTGAACTGAGAGTATCAGCTGTGTAAAACTGTTTGATGATGCTGGAATGACTTTCTCCCAGACACTGAACATCTTAAATAAGTTTTGAACATGTTAAGATAAATTATTGTCACATACACTACAGAAATGCACATTAAAAAATCCACAACAAATAATATGAAAGTTCCAGGTTTGCAAATTTGAGTGCAGACAAATTAAAAAAAAAAAACACAAAAAAACAAAAAAAACCCCAACTTCTATTCTTTAACTTATTTTTTCTCAGAGTACAATATTTCCAGGTGTGTCCACCCCTTGCAACAGAAAATGGACAGTGAGGCAGCTGGGATGTACAGCTGGTAAAAAGCAGGGGTCTTTTTCTGTTCTATTCTAGTTTTACTTCTGCCTTCTTTTTCAAATAAAGGTGTTGGGTAATTGGAAGCTAAAGACAATTTGTTTAAGCATGAAGTAATTACATTAGATTAAGATTCCAAAAATTATTCACAGCATTTATCAACTGCCAGTTTGGAGAGTACAGATATTGCATTGGCCATACAGGAAACTTCTTAATGTGTTCTAAATCTGTGTTCCAAGGACTTTGAGAGTGGAGCTTAACTTATTCCCAACATGCTAAAGTTGGGAAATATGAAAATTGATTTTTCACTGGTTTCTTGGTAAAATGAGGTTAAAGTATTTTCTGTTATTAGACCAAGTCAGGCTAAATAGACATAAAACAGTTTGTTCTTCCCTGACTGAAGTCAAAGTCAAAACCCTTATGGACATGAAAGGCAGCAATATCTAACCTATGATCTTGAGAGGAAACACCGTGTATTCCATCTGTGGAATAACAGGAACATGCTTTGAATGCTGGAATACACACTGCATGTTGTTTACACTTAGAAGAATTACTTATTGCAATATTTGCATAAGTGCTCAGCTCTGTTTAATTACAGCTGTCTGTACGGGAATGTTCCATTGTGTGGGCACCAGATTCAAACCAGATTTCTTTGTAGAGCTGTAAAGTCAAATTCTAGAGAGATGGACACAGATTTCCATCCACATGAAGGAGCAGATTGTTTCAGGCAGTCCAATGTATGAAGTGTTCCATTCTCCCTTCTGAGGCACTTCTGGATGGCTGTGCCCAGGTCTGGGTTTCTTGAGGACAAGAAAGGAGCTGCTGGAGAGGGTCCAGCAGAGGCCACGAGGATGATGAGGGGTCTGGAGCATCCCTCTGATGAGGAGAGACTGCGGGAGATGGGTTTGGTTAGTCTGGAGAAGGGAATATTGCGAGGGATCTCATCAATCCACACCAGTATCTCCGAGGGGTGCCAGAGGATGCTGCCAGGCTCTGTGACAGGACAACGAGCAATGGTCATTAACTAAACCACGAGAAGTTCCACCTCAACAGGAGGAAGAAATTCTATTCACGGTGGGGGCAGAGCACTGGGATCGGTGCCCAGGGAGCCCCAGGAGAGGCTGAGGGAGCTGGGGGGGGCTCAGCCTGGAGAAAAGGAGGATCAGGGAGATCTTCTGGCTCTGCACAGCTCCTGCCAGGAGGGGACAGCCGGAGGGGTCGGGCTCTGCTCCCAGGGAACAGGGACAGGAGAAGGGACGGCCCCAAGCTGTGCCAGGGGAGGCTCAGGCTGGACAGCAGCAGGAATTTCCCCATGGAAAGGGCGGTCAGGCCTTGGAAGGGGATGCCCAGGGAGGCGGTGGATTCCTCATCCCTGGGGTGCCCAAGGAAGGGCTGGAGGTGGCACTCAGTGTTCCGGGCTGGTGACAAGGCGGGGATCGGTCCCAGGCTGGACTCGATGGTCTCGGAGGCCTTTCCCAACCTCCCTAATCCCGACTCTCCACATCGGGACCCGCTCCCGGCGCCTGAGGGAGCTGCGGGGGAATGGAGCTGTGGGAGAATGGAACTGCGGGGGAATGGAACTGCGGGGGAATGGAGCTGTGGGAGAGTGGAGCTGCGGGGGGATGGAGCTGCGGGGGGATGGAGCTGCGGGGGGATGGAGCTGTGGGAGAATGGAGCTGTTGGAGAATGGAGCTGTTGGAGAATGGAGCTGCGGGGGGATGGAGCTGCGGGGGGATAGAGCTGCGGGGGGATGGAGCTGTGGGAGAATGGAGCTGTGGGAGAATGGAATGGAGCGGTAGGAGAATGGAGCTGTGTGGCAATGGAGCTGCGGGGAAATGGAGCCGTGAGAGAATGGAGCTGTGGGGGAATGGAGCTGCGGGGAAATGGAGCCGTGCGAAGGCGCGGCCAGCAGAGGGAGCGCCCGGCGGTGCCCGCGGGCGGGGCTGAGGGCGTGGCCCCCGCAGACACCGCCCCGCCCTCCTCGCTGTCCCCGCTGCCGCTCCGGGACGCGGCAGCAGCGCTGGCGCCATGGTGAAGATCGCCTTCAACTCGCCCTTCGCCCTCAAGGATGAGCCCAAAAAAGAAGCGGCCGAGGCGCTGGTGGCCGACAAGGTGCGGGCAGCAGGGGCGTCCCGGCCGGCGGCGGCGGGAGGAGGGGGGGCGGTGTGAGGGGGGGCGCAAGGAGACGGAGCCGCCGCCATTTTCTGGCGGCCGCGGGAGGCGGCGGCGGCCGCGGAGCTCCGGCTCGTGTGGCGGCCGCCCCGCCGCGCTCTGCGGGACCGGCTCCCCTCAGCCCTGAGGGGCCGCGGGGCTGTCCCGCTCCGCAGCGCTGTGGCGGTGCGCTGTCCCGTGACAGCCCGGGTGTTTATGTCGCGCTGGGCCCGTGCCAGCGCCGCGTTTCCTCACGGCGCTTTAAAGCTCCCAGCTCGGCCCCGGGCCGGCCGGGGCAGGGCGGGCAGAGCGCCCCGGGCAGAGCTCCGCGGGCAGAGACCCCCGGGCGGAGCTCCCCGGGCAGCGCGGGCAGAGCTCCCCGGGCAGAGCTCCGAGCTCGGCGGCGCCTCCCGGGCACACAAAGCCGGCTGAGGCTCGTCCTCCGCTCCCGGCAGCTGCGGTGAGCCGAGGGTGTCGCGCTTAAATTAAGAAACCTGCCATAAAGGGTTTTAAATAGAAACCCAGGCGAGCACCCTGTGGTTGGCTTTTCCTTCCCAGCGAGCTGCGCGGCGCTGGCTTGAGTGGAACTTTTCCCCGTTTGTGGGAAATTTGTTTTGAAGGTGTCCTGCGTTTTTAGGGAGATGGAGAGGCTCAGGCTGTAGGTAAATATATCAGTGACTCCAGACGGGGAAAATGGCATGGGCTGAGTTTATTTGCGATAGAAGAGTAAGAAAATTTTAGAAACAACAAAACTTGTGGAGTTGAACTGTAGTTATGGTTTTTCTTTTTTTTTTTTTCCCTTCTAAGCCGTAATCAGGAAAGCAGCTTCCCTGCCAGCCTACACAGCCTCACCTGAAATAGCCTTCCTTTGGAAGGAGGAGGGATGCAGAGTGATTTTCTTGCTCAGTACACTCTTTCTTCTGAGCTGTCAGTTTGATGCATGCACATTTAATACAGTAGCACTCAATTACAGGATCAAAAGGAGAGAAAGTGGGAAAACAAGGTAGATAAAGAACTTAAAATTTGAAGGTGTCATTAGCCTGGCCAGTTTCTTGAGGACAAACTCCTCAGCTATTCCTTAGGCAACTGGTTATACATACTAGCCCTGTACTGTGAAAGTTCTGACTGGAATAGTTCTAATAAGCATACCCCTTTTTTCTGTTCTCATGAGAGCTGCTCCTCTCAATTTGGAATATTCTGTGTGTTTGCACACATGTTTGTGGGATTTTAACAACTCTTCACTCCGACTTCAGGGCTTGGAGTTGCATATAAACATCAAGTTCATAATTTTACTGCAAGACAAACTTGTTGGAGTGGTTGTTAATGTCTTCTTTAGCTGGAATATTTGTGCAGAGCAAACAAGCTTAAAGGTTAATGTTGGCTGAAACAGCACAATAAGAGTCCCCTGGAGTATCTGCACAAACCCTTGAGCTTGCAGCATATTCTCCCTGCAGGTTCTTTGGGGCTGTCAGCAGCGTTAAAACAAGTGATTTTTCTTCTTGTCTCTTATCCCTCGTTTGCTTTGCTTGTTACAGCTTAAAGCTGCATTTTCTTTGTAGGTTTTTGACGACTTTTACCTGTTTCTTTTGTGCAGAGGTTTTGTAACCTGCTCGAGCAAAACCTTGGTATTGTGTTCTCTTAGCAGCTCTGTCAACTCTTCCCTCTCAGGTTCAGCTGCCCACATTGCTGTTTAATATGCTCAAGTAGCTTTGCTTTGTTTGAAATAGGTGTAGTGCAAGTGTAGCTAATTAGATGTCGACATCACCCCTGTGCTGGGATGGCTGCAATGCCAAAACTGGTGCAGACTGGTGTGTTCAAGTAGGGACAGGCTGGATGAGTAAGGTGCTCCAAGGTGGAGGTGAGGGTGGGAGAACGTGGAGAGAACAGAATTAATCTCCATCTTACAGCTGCTTAACCCTGAAAAGAGATTTTCACACAGTGCCACAGAAATGTGGCATCATTCTGACTTGAAACAAGGGTTTGGCTTTGGTTTTGTAGTTGGTTTCTTTTTTAACAAATGCTTCACATGCCAATTGTAGCAGCTTCTCGTGTCCTGCTGAACCAACATTTTTGTGTTTGGAGGATGCGCGAGCGGAATGTGGGAGTATTGACTTTCACAAAACAGCTCGGGGTTTGTTTCAGCCCTTGCATAACTGATGGCTCTGACTTTTATGCTCTGCATCTTGCTGAGCATGGAAATACTGCGGCCCTGGTGATAATGCTGGTGCTTGTTGGGAGCACAGGGCACTAAATGTGTTGTGTTCTGCAGGACCCAAATAAAGAAAGGCTGTGGAAGCTGCTGTGCCCAGCCCAGCCACTGATTCTGGGAACTCCTCAAAGGAAAAGATCTTTTACTGTGAAATCCAATTTTCTTCCTTCCTGAGTGGGACAAAGAGCAGATCTTGAAAGCAAGCTATTAAATCCTGGAGTCAGGAATCATTAAAGGGACATTCTTGACCAAATATAGGGGTTATCTAAACATTTTGGGTTTCGTGGTTGTTTTTGTGTTTTGTTTTTTCCTTTTAAAGACTCAAGCCCAGTATGTGATTCCAGGAGGGAATGTCTCTTCTGATTGTTTGCTATTTGACAGCACTTTTGCTGTTCTCTTCACTTGGCTTGCAGCTGGAAGTCTGGGAAGGTGCTGCAGGAGAAGGTTAAATTTTCCTCTCAGACACCACCTCTGCCTTTGCAGTGAGGATTGCACAACTCACCACCACTGGAGAGTAGTTTCCTTTGGGTGCAGTCATCTTTGTTTGAGAGAACAGTGGGTGGGGGAAAACAAGCTGCTGAGCTAAAGGGAGAAGTTTCAGGCTGTTAGAAACAAAACTTCCTGAGATTTGGGTAGGAAAAAGGTTATTTTGAGGCTGCAAGGTAGGATGTGCCACAGGGAGTTGGTTTTATTTGGAATAATTAGAAGCTGTATTTAAGCTGACGAGTTGTTTTCTTTCATAATGGACTTTGCTTGTGCATATCAAAAGTTCCAAAACCTGGTGACTTGTGTCAGTTGTCTGCTCCCTAGCCAAAAGACAAAGTTGCATCTTGGCTTCTTCTGTTAATCCAGGTTTGGGAGGAAAAGTGATGTTAATGTGACTCCTAGTGAGAGGAGGAGGGGAAGAGGCCTGAAGACACTGTGTACCTTTAATGACCTTGATCTACAAATCCTGCTTTTTGTACAACAGTGTGGCTGCAGCACAGGATCTTTTGTTACAGTTATTTAACTTTTGTGCATCTCAAATAGTTTCTGGACAAAGGTTTGTCTAGAAAACATCCTCTGACTCAGAAAATACTCTTGGTGCTGTTTGAAAACTGATCTTAATTTGATGCAGTAACATTTCATGTGAGTGTTTTATTTTATGATGCTGACTTGTAATTCCCACACCTAGAAGAAATAGGAGACAGTGGATCAAAGTGAAGCAGTTGATAACAGCTTTCTTTAAATTCAGAGCAACCGCCCTTTTCAGTTCTCCCCTTCTTTATTTAAAGGACCCAGAAGTTGCCACACACAGGGGTGAAAACTCATCTGGAAGATGTCTCTTGACTCTGCTGGGCCTGGCGTTCATCTTGGCAGGGGTTGTTGTGGGTGGAGCCTGCATCTACAAGTACTTCATGCCAAAGGTAATCTGAGGGTTCTTTTTTATTTAAACAGCATTGATTTAAAAATACGTAAATGGATTATCAGTAGAAAGATGAAGGGGAAAGAAAGATGATGAGGGCATGGCGAGCATGTGTCGAGCTGTGCTGAGTCTCAGCAGAGAGAAGTGCAGAGTTCAAGCTGCTTTGTGCATTCATTGCCTGCCTTGCTCGTGCCCCAGCACAAGGTGTACCGTGGGGAGATGTGCTACTTTGAGAACGAGGGCCGGGAGCGCGCGGTGGAGCCGTACTTCCTGCCCATCGCCGAGGAGGCCGACATCCGCGAGGACGACAACATCGCCATCATCGACGTGCCCGTGCCCAAGTTCTCCGACAGCGACCCCGCCGCCATCGTGCACGACTTCGACAGGGTCAGTCCGGGGTTGGCTCGGGGCCGGAAAGCTCCCGGCCCTGTGAACTCGGGAACAGAGGGGTTAACTCTGCACGGGTGTTACAGCCCCTGTGGATAGCAGCTCTGAGCTGTTCCCCAGAAAAACACATTTCAGTGCTGTGCAGCGCCCGTGGGATATCTGCAAGTGCCACTTGCTGCTGTATGAGTTAAGGGACTGAGGACTTAGCACAATGTCACAGCAAAATGTAGAATTGCAAACAGGTGTCAGGAGAAGGGCATTGAAAAATCACTTCAAGCAGCTGAAAACTGGAACCTGACAGTGCTGTGGTAGTTTCTAGGAGTTTCTGTAAGGCAAAGAGGAGAGGGTGGCTTTCGTTTGACTTTTTAATCAAAATTGTGTTGATAGTGTTAACATTATCCTCAGTCAGCTGTAAAAGCTCTCAGAGGTTGGTTGTAAATCCAGCCTTGGCAATGCAGATAGAATAAACAGATAATTCTAGTTGCTGCAGTTCTTGCACTCGGTGACAAGGCTGATGAGATTTTTGTAGGGACTAACACTTTTCCTGAAGAACTATTTAAAGGGAATCATTGTTTATCAGCAGCTGGATACCTTTTGTTTGCACTGTGTTTAATTAGACCTTTTTAGTTATGAGATCATATTCCAAATACTTCCTCTGTGTTAGTACAAACTGTACTCCTTTACAATTATGGCAGAAGCTGCTTTTATATTCAGCTTTCTCTTATCTAGGAAAGTTTTTTAAACTATTGCTGGTTTGCTAGAGTGGTAACAGTTCAGTTCTTACACGGGGCAGTTCCTGAATGCATCACGTTTGTAGTAGCTGTGAGTGATCTCCAGCTTTTTTAGCTTGCTTTGCTCCTGATGGAATTGTATTCACCTAATCAAAGACCCCCTGACTAATGAAAAACTTGTTTTTAAAACAGCTTTTGACAGCGTACCTCGACCTGCAGCTGGGGAACTGCTACGTGATCCCGCTGAACACTTCCATAGTCATGCCTCCAAGGAATCTGATGGATCTCTTCGCCAAGCTGGCGGTATGTGGGAGCTTTGCTGCTGCCTTCTGCTGACAGACTGCCTTTGCTACGAGTGCTGGGTGCTGCTCCTGAACCCCAGGCCCTTGCTAGAACAGTCCTCCCTCCATCAAAGTCCATAATCCCCCGGCTCAGTCACTGCACTGAAGTTCAGGCCAGCTGTCAGTGTATATTATGTTGAGTAGATTCATGCCTAATGCTCTTATTAATACCTGGCTTTATGAGAGCTGAAAGCAACCAGCAGATAAGGTTAAATTTAGCTGTTGGAAAGGAATTTGATAAAGCTCCAAATATGATTGAAAACCTAAACCTGAGAGTTACTCCTGGCTAGCTCGCTCGCCCCATGAGGGTTTTACTGAAAAGAACAATGTGAACTTGTTCCCCAGTTATTGGCACTGCAGTTATGAGATCACCACAAGCATTTGACTCTTCAGTGACTAAAACCAGTGTTTTTCCAAGATGATTTATAGGTCAAGTTGATAGAGCTGGCTGCTGCTTCCCAGTTGAATGCAATACTTGGCTGTCATGCATCAAATAGACTTTAAAAAAAAAATCATTGGCTCTCTTACACCTGGTTCTAGAGGCCGGTGGTCTAGTTTTGCATGTTGCATTCTTTTTTATAGTTTCATGAAGACAAGTTTTAAGTGCATGTCCCTGCCCCTGTTTTTAGCAGTTGTGGGGTAGGAAGCTGTTTCAGTAGTGCTGGGAGCATCTGGTGAAGCCTTCTGTAGGTTGCCTTGCCTTTTTTATATTAGAATTACGTTGCCTCAAACCTGGAGTCTTTCACAATATTTTGTTTCTCTTTTAGCTGCAAACTTTGTGTACAGATAAACCTGACCAGGTTCTATTTACATTTGCTTCACATGAGGCTTGCAGAGTTGAGGTTAATTGTGCTTTGTTTGAATGTAACTGCAGCTGTTGGAAATGGCCTCTGTCAGTTTTTAACTTCCCTGGTAAGAGACTGGTTGAGCTCAGTGTATCTTGGTATTAAAACTCTGCTGCTTGAAGCCCTTCCAAAGCAGAGAAAGGCAGTGGTTTGTCCCTTGTGAGCAGCAGTCTGTACCTTCAGGCTTTGTCTCTTGCAGACTGGCTCTTACCTGCCCCAGACGTACCTGGTGCGTGAGGAGATGGTGGTGACAGAGGAGATTGACAATGTGTCTGACCTGGGAATCTTCATCTACCAGCTCTGTGTGGGGAAAGAGACCTTCAGGCTCCAGCGCAGAGACCAAATCTTAGGTAAGTTCCCCTCAGGAAAAAGCAAATGTATTGTTCAGCTAGGGAAGGGGTAAAAACTTAAAACTGGGGAGTTTTTAATCTGGGAAATCTTGAGTGTTCAGCAGCAGCTGAGGCTACTCCTGGCCCTGCTGGGTATTTCCCCTCCCTGTCTGGATGTGAACACGCTGAGAAAGTTTCAGTTGCACAATTACAGGTTACATGCCCAAACCGAATATAAGTCTGTTCCTGTTCCAATTTTTGGTCGAAGTTAAAACTTGGTTTGACCCTAAAATTCATATAATCCATCAGGTAATGTGAGTCTCTGTAGGCGCAGCTTATTCTGTCCTTGTCCTATCTAAAACTGGGTTACAGGAGCAGCAAATAAAAGCATTTTCTTCTGCTTTACTTGCTCTGAAAAAAAAAAAAAAGTAATTGAACAGTGAGCTCCGGACATCCCAGACTTCCTCTCTGAAAGAGGAAGAGCACTTCAGAGGAACTGCTGAGCTCTGGCTCTTTACTGCCTGTGTGCTCCTGCCACCCCCTGACAGGGACTAAGCTGAGGTGTCTGTGCTCTGACCTACTGGGACAAGGCCTGGGGGGCAGAAATCTGATGTTGTGAATTTTATTTCACTGTAGCTCAAAGCTTTTCATCTTTGCTGCTCCCACCAAACACAGTGAGCTAACCCTTTGTCAGTTAGAGCCTTTCAGAATGCAAATGTTTGGTTTGTCAGGACTCTCTGCTCTGGTTTGGCTGCCAAGCTCTTGGGCAAGAGTTTCCTCAGCCCAGTTGCAGCATCAGGAGCCACATCTGCAGCTTGCTGCACACAACATCCTGTTGTGGATGGAAGCAAGGCTCCTTCTATGGGAGCAGCAGAGGGGTTCTGTGTAGGGCACGTGAAGGAACACTAAACACCCTGCCCTCATGGGAGGCAGAGGCGTGTGACTGTGCTGTTGTGAGAATGATTTTGGGAACAAGGCTAAACTGACAGCTGCTGTGTCTATAGACAGCCCTGTGAAGAGTGTTTATGATGTTCCCTGAGATCATCCTGCTCTAACATGTTGTTGACATCTCTGCTGCAGAGTAAAAGATTCCTGCAGAGAATTTGTACAAAAGGATTCTGCTAAATAGAAAATGTTTCCTGGTACAGCTGCTGTGCTGTAACTCTCCGTGTTTGCCTGTGGAGGGGAGAGGGTGGGAAATCTGATCCAACTGAGGAGAAAATTGTTCAGGGGCAAGTCTTGCCTTGCCTTCCCCATCTCATTTTTAGCACACAATGTACAAGCCATGTCACAGAAATGAGACTGCAGTGGATAAACTCCTGGAACTTCTCTGGAAAAATCTTTTCATTTATTCTCATTTAGCTAGTGCTGCCTTGGCCCTCAGCTTCTGTGGAGTTTGTGTGTTCATCTTAGATCAAGCTGACCTCAGGTGCTGTGTCAATTCCCTGGATTTGTAACTTGGAGGCTTTGGAGAAACCCAGGTCATGCTGTTAAGTGGGCTCTGGAAACTTCACCTCCATCCTGATGCCTTGGGATTGAAGGACAAGCTTGGATTTTAGGTGTTTATAAACCAAAGCAGTGCCCTGGTGGGGTTTAGAGCTGGTACTTCTCTTGCTTCATCTGAACAATTTCTGCTTACTAAACAAACTAAATCCTTCTGACTTACTGCAAATGGAAGTGATTGAGGAGAGCAGCTCTTTGATGGTAGGACTGCAGTGTTCCCATCTCTTACTGAGCCACAGCTGATACAGGTAAGCTGCCTGGGTCAGACCCAGTGCTGGCATGTCCCAAAATAGAGAAAATCACTTTAATAGTGTTAGGAACAACCAGAGTGAGGTAAATCCTCCCAAGGTGAAGTACTCTGCAAAGCACACCCTGTGCAAATGCACACTGGGTGGGGGATTTGGGGTGGAAAACAGCCCCACAGCAGGTTCTGGTGGCAGTTCTGGCTGGTGAAACTCCGTGCACTGAATGATTGTGTCTTGCAGTGATGGAAGGCTGGCACTGCTTGCTCTGGGCTGTGGATCCCTTCACTCAGCCTCTTGTCCTCTCTCGTCCCCAGGTGTGCAGAAACGGGCAGCGGAGAACTGTCACTCAATCAGACACTTTGAAAACTCTTTCGTGGTGGAGACAAAGATCTGTCAGCAGTGAAAGGTGACAGATGGGAGGTGACCAGGTCACACCTTCTTGGAGAAGTCAGCATTAGACATCGACTTCTGCAATTAAACCGTGCAGTGATAATCAAAAGCCTTATGCATTTTCTGTGTATTGCTTGTATTTCAGAAGACAAAGTCACCATTTCAGCTTTTGTTGATCCTTGGTATAACTTTTTAGTTGTCTCATGTAAAACTTAAATTTGAATAAGGTTTTTTTAGAAGGCTAATATCAGTTTATCTGTTGAATGTGTTTGATTTAGTGTAATCTGGGAATGGCAGAAAAATATATATATATAAAAATGTTAACCAGTTCCTTGGCTGGAACCAGTTATGTTCACCTTAACTTTCACAGAATGATTAATATTAATAATCTGTGGTTTGCACATCTTGTGTAGTTCTGTAGAATAGCTCTGCACTCCGTATCCTGGCTCAAAAACCTTCCTGATCTGGCTCATTAAAGGTTTATTTTAACGACCATGTGTGCAGCATGTAAAATCCAAGCTCAGTGATCAGAAACCTTTAACACTACCCTGTTTCTTTTTGTGCAATTACTGTATTGAATTCGTATGTATATTTGGAACCTTCCCTGAGCTTATGTTGAGTTCTTCTCCCTTAGTTTGGTTTTGTGGCATTTAGTTGTTAGGTTCTGATAGAGTTGCTCTTAAAGCTTGTCAGTATTTTTGGTTATGACTTGGTTTATCCTGTAACTTCCTATTTCCAGGGTCTGCTCTGGTATAGCTCACTTGTGAACGTGACTGTAGTTGTAAACTTAAACTACTTGGGCTTATATAAAACTTTTTAGATCAACTTTTTATGAGCAAGTAGCATTACTGCTGCAGTCAGAGCATTGTTCCCTTTTTTTGGAAAGCTGCAGTCTAAAAAGAATGAAGAGTTAGTGTCCTGCAGTTGATAAACTTGAGAGTTTTATTAAGGGACTTTATATTGGCATAAATTCTGCAACCCTATAATAAATGTTTCTCTAAAACTTTGGTGTTTGTGTTGGTGTTTGGTGCTCAGAGGTGAGGGGGTGATGCTGTGGGCCTGAGGCAGTGTGCACTGCTCTTCTCTTACCCCTCTTCTTTTTGAGCTTGTGAAGCTGAATCTCCTCTTCTGCTGCTGTGGAAATGCTTTGTGGTGCCAGACGAGCTCGAGGAACAGAGGGAAGAACAGACAGCTCTCCAAACAGGATCCCCAGGGGAGCTGTGGGGGTGTTCACTGCGAGGACAGGGTGTATTTACAATTCATTTGAATATTGCTGGTGATGAGGCTGTTCTGGGTGTTAATGAGGGGCTGTACAGAGGTTAATGAGCCCTCAGCTCTGACCCTGAGCTTTGCTGGAAGCTCAGACAGGAGAGTCCTGCCCTGAGCGTGCTGTGGCTCAGAGCTGCAGTGTTGCTGAACCCCTGTGGCTTTCCTGGAAAGTGCCTGGGATTGTGCAGCTGGAAGGAAAACAGGATTTCTGCACAGAGAGCAGAGGGGAGGGAGAGGTGTCTGTGCTCTGTCATTGCTCAGGAAACTGCAGGGGAAAGGAGAATTTTAGCACAGAAACGAACATAGCTCTTCCCCCCAAGGATGTGGCCCAAAACCAGAGCTTTGGCTCTAAAATAGGGTGTATAGGAGAATATTTCAGTAAATTGAAGTATATAGTGAATTAAATGCTGTAGAAAGCTCTAATTCCTGTCACTGTGAGCCAGGTTCCCTTCACTCACAGGTGATACTGGGAGAAGCAGCTGCCCTGGGAAGTTTTTCCTCAGGTTTTGTTCCTTGGACAAGGGGTGATTTCCTGCTCCTCTGGATTGGCTGGGGGGATAACCAGGATGAGTTCTTTTGGAAGCCTTGAGTGGTAGGACTGGGGGATGTGTTGGTTGTAGAGAGTAAGAAGCACCTGCTTGTAGCACTGAGGTCTGATTTTATGGAAAATGAAACCCAGGAATTGTTCTTTCCCCAGCTCAGAGTGTCCATGCAGTGGATGCACCTCCAGCCAGGAATGCTGGACCTGCTTCCACGTGGGCTGGAACACTTTCTGTACCTTTGGAACAAAGTGAAGTCAGTTCTTTAAGATGTTATTGGATGTTCCAGGCAGAGAGCCAGGGACAGGAGGAACAGATTGTTCTCACCTGCTCTGAGGTGAGCTGGGTTTGGTCCCACCTGTGCTCTGCTGGCCTTGTGATCTACCCCTAAGCATTTTAGGCTGGGGCTGGGTGTCCAAGCCAGAATACTGGAATTTGAAGGTGTTCCTGGGATCTTCTAATGCTGTGTTTGGGTTTGAGCAGCTCCTGTGTTCAGCAGGGCTATAGAAGCCAGAAGGAGCACGAGTTAAAGTCCTTTGCACCAGTAGATGGCACAGGCAGCAAACACTTGGGTGTAAACTGTGTGTAATTGGTAAAAGCTTGGTGTACTCATCCAACAGAGAGTTTTTCAGCTGTTTTACCAAAATTAAACCTAAAAATGGTTTGATCAAAGCTTCATCCTACTGGTGCTCAGTGTCTTTGCTTTGTTTTTATCTATAGTAAGGAACATTTTTATACTAGAACTTAGCCTGTGTAAAGCCCTGTTAATATCTGAGTGGAAATACAGACATGGGTGCGGTGGCTGAGGGGGTGACATTGCAAAATGCAAACTCAGTTACTGGAAGAGCTTCATTTACATCTGTGTTTACTGCAAAAGCATCCTGTGGGCATGGGACAATCAGCAAGATCTCTGCAGGGACTTTGGGCAGCTTCCTTGGAGGAGCTGGCAGGTTCATTTTCTGACCAAATAAATTCAAAATTAGATGTAAATTTTAAATACCTTTTCAACATGAAGCTGGCAATGCAGCCCTTTGGATATTTCCTCTTCCAGCATTACATGGGAGTTCATTCGGGGTTTTTTAATCAGAAATACACATGAGAAACAATTATTAAGAACACGGTTGATTTTGGTTCTCAGAGGAGATGCCGTTGCCCTTTGCAGAACCTGCTGCTCTGTGTGACTGCTGAGGTGTGGGTGGCTGTGGTGACAGACTCTTCCATTAGAGTATGTAATGGTCTAAATTAGAATTTCATTCCCCTCCACGCTTTCTGTTCATAAAAATCTGTAAAAATTGAATTTCTTTGCATATATAAATATCTTGAGATTAAGATCTTGAGGAAAAAAAAAAAATAGGGGTAGTGTGGAGACCTTTGAAAGACACCCTGAGGCTTCAGGCTGGTATGAAAAGGAGCTTTAGCACCTCAGACTTGATAAACTGCTGGTCTAAACCAGGCTTTTCTGGTGATAAGCTCAGCTCTGTGCAGGGCCCGCTGTGGCAGGGAGAAACTGTCACCTCCACCCCAGCAGCACCACCAGGGCTGTGCAGGGCTGGGGGACACAGCCTGCTGGGACTCCAGCAATTCTGGGCTGGCTCCTGTGCACTTGGTTAGTTCTTGGAACACTCCCCAAAATCCAGCTGTGCTCAGCAGAGTCTGGGGTGAGCCATGGGGAAATCTCAGCGCTGAGCACCCTGGACCTGAAAAGAACCCATGTCCCAGAATCCCAGGATGTTGGGACCCTAAAACTCATCCCATTCCATCCCCTCCCACAGGCAGGAACACCTTCCACTATCCCAGGTTGTTCCAAGCCCCGTCCAACCTGGCCTTGGACACTTCCAGGGATCCAGGGGCAGCCACAGCTTCTCTGGGCACCTGTGCCAGGGAAGAATTCCTTGTGTCTATCCAAATTTGCCATGTTTCAGTGTGAACCCAATCCCCCTTGTCCTGTCACTGTCCTTGATGAACATTCCCTATCCAGCTTCCTTCTAGTCCCTTCAGATACTGTAAGGTCTCTTCTTCCAGAACCTTCTCCAGGCAGGACAGCCCCAGCTCTCCCAGCCTGTCTGCACAGGGGAGGTGCTGCAGCCCCTTGGCCTCCTCTGGACTCGGATTCCAACAGCTCTGTGCCCTTCTGATGTTGGGCACAGCCCCCCTGGGCACAGCACTGCACGTGGGGTCACGGCAGAGCTGTGTAGGAGCAGATAAACGGGGTGCAGCCCCCAAACCTGCACTCTGTGCCTGAATTACCCCCCTGGCAGGGCTGAGCTCGAGGTCAGGCTTGGAAGGATTAAAGCTGCTTTGCCTGTCCTAATTCCAGGCCGGGTGGGGGATGGCTCTGCTGCCAGCTGTGGCACAGAGCCCAAATGCCAGCCCTGATTGAAGCTTCCAGGCTGCCACCAAAATAATTACAATATGGATAATTACAGTAACATTATTGCATTAACATTATTTCTTCATTATGAGTATATATTTGTGATATTACCTAGGCAATGGGATGGGTGTATTTCCTGTCTTGAGAGTAATTACAGACTCTCCACCTCCACTCCACCTCCCAAGGAAATTATTTCTTATAGTTTAACTAGTCTGTTTACTTGAATGTAATTTCTCTCTTTTTGTGCTGTGACAGCCCTGAATTCCACCTTAACAGCTGTGAGAGTGAATTTCCTGTCTGCAGACTTATTCTCGCTGTGGATGGTGGTTTGTGTCTTGCAGAAATGTTTGGGCTCTCCTGCGCTGTTCCATTTTAGGGCTTGTTGGTGTTTGGAGCTGTTGTGGGTTAAATCCATGGGTGGACACCTGATTCCCACAGGCCTCATCCCTTGTTGGTGTGGAACCCAGTGCTTTTATTCTGGAATGAGAGTGTCAGCATGTGGGATTCATTAGGAATGGATCCATGGATGGAGGAGGTTTAAGTGGGATATTGGGAAGAAACCCTTCCCTGTGAGCGTGGGGAGACCCTGGCACAGGGGGCCCAGAGCAGCTGTGGCTGCCTCTGGATCCCTGGAAGTGTCCAAGGCCAAGTTGGATGGAGCTTGGAGCAGCCTGGGACAGTGGGAAGTGTCCCTGCCCATGGCAGGAGTGGAATTAGATCACCTTAAAGGTCACTTCCCACCCAAGCCATTCTATGATTCTATGGATAAGCCCATGCTTTCCACCCCAAAATCCCTTGGGAGGGAAGGGCTGTGGAGGGTATTGGGTTCTACGGGGTGATGATCTCAGTGGTCACTTGGTGATAAATAATTCACTCCTTTGGATTCTCTGCCCTTGGGGGTCGTAGCTTCTGTCATCTCATGTTCTCAGCCCTTTGCACTAATTAATCCTTATTTTTATTTTAATAAGAGTGATGTGGAAGCCCCACTTCAAACCACCCTCCCCTTACCAGTGTGCATTGTCACCCAGCCTGAAGCTGACAGCAGTTACAGCTTTGCCTCCTCATCTCATGACCAAAAAAACCCCAAACAGGCGGGAGGATCCGACTTTCACACACGCCAGGGCCGACACTTCCGTGGTGAGCGGAGCCGCTGCTGCTCTCCCCGGGAGGGGCACAGGAAGGGCCCTGAGCTTATCAGATCCATCTGTGCCTCTCTCTCCGTGAGCTGCCTCCCCTCCTGCTCCCCTCCCTCTCTGCTGCTGCTGCCGAGGAGTGCTGCATCCCTAAGGATGCTCCAAGAGGCTTCTCCTCT